GGGGAGCGCGCCCCGTGCTCAGCTCTGGCCGCTGCTGCCACCTTCCCGAAGAGATGCTCCTTGGCCTAGTGTGTGAGCGTTTGGACCGCGTTTCTGCCAGCACCACGTACTCTCATTTTTGCCACTCAAGTAAAACATATTTCATTATAGTTTAATTTGCATTTCTTTCACTGTAAGTGATGCTGAGCATGTTCTAATTATTTAAAAGGCAGTCTTCATTCTTTTCCTATGAACAGTATCATTCCTTTATTCCTTCTGTTGGGCTGTTCTTTCGTCGTTTATTTGTATATATTAACAAAAGCTGTCTTCTGTTTCTGATATGTGTGGTGCATATTTTCCCAGTTGTGGCCTTTAAAAAAAATTTATTTTAGTGTGTTCAATTTTTATCAATATTTGCATGCTTTCTAGGTTTTGTGCTATGATTAGAAAGGCTATCCCTGCTTATGTTTTTGTTTTGTTTTTAAATCCTCCTGTGTGTTCTGGAGCTTATATGGTTTTAAGAAATAAATACACACACACACACGCACGCACACACTCTCGCAGACACACTTAAAGCTTTCATCCATCTGAAATTCTTTTTGGCGTCAAGAGCGCGCTAAAGAGCCCGCTTGTTTTACAGAGGGCTGGCCGGTTGGCCCACGCCGTTGAGGACTTTTTCATTTTCTGATGTACTTTGAATTTCCCTGCCTAATCCAGTCTGTTTCCTCGGCTGAAGGAATGGGTTTCAACTTTGCTAAGAGGGTTGTTTTTCTGCCCACCCTTCAGCAGGCTGATCCAGATTCTTTCCTTCCAGGACCCTTTCAAGTACAGCTACCCCCCGCTCGTGGACGACGACTTCCAGACGCCCTTGTGCGAAAACGGGCCTGTCGCCAGTGAGGATGAAGCTTCGAGCAAGGAAGACATGGAGAGCGATGGCAAAGAAACCCTGGAACCAGTGTTTAATGAAGAACAAACAGCTCTTCTGAAAAAGGTAATTTTAACATTGAAATGATACTGAGTCCTAAGCCGTGGCCCAGCCCCAACTCTGCTGGCAGCTTGCCGTGTGATTTGGGGTGATTCACAGCTTTCTGTCCGTCTGCGCCTTTGAATGTAAAGAGAAGCATGGGACAGGGTGGGCAGATTCCATACTTTTGTATAAAAATGGGCAAAATGCACCCAGAAGGAATTGTTTTATCTAAAATATTTTTATTTATCTGAAATAAAATTAAAACTTTACCTTGATCTACTTCCTCTCTGTTTCATATTTTAAAAAGCACTTAGTTGTCATCTTGTAATCAGGGGCTTGAAAGATAAATGCATAACTTAGAACAAATTTAAAGACTCTTAAGGGAAGGACCATGTTATATTTTCTATAGTGATATTTATAGTAGGCATTCAACTGTATGTTAATGTAATGTTAAAAGATATTAAATATATAATTTAGGTATAATAAAGCTATGTTAAAGATTATAATTTGCATTGAATCAATATAATGTTTACTTTTTGACCTAATGACCTGCCCAACCGTCAAGTATGAAACTAAATTTCTTTATCTTTTCTTTCTTCATATTGTTTTTAATCTTCAGAGTGGCCTAAGCGAACCTACTTCCAAAGCAGAAGAAAATGAAAAAGTTGATTCCAAGACAAAAGCTTTCAAGAAACCGCTGAGTGTGTTTAAAGGGCCCTTATTACACATCAGGTAATAATGGAGGATTTTACTAGCTATGCTTGCACAGCATACTTTGATCATACTGAAGGAACTGCAAAGTAAGAAAACTTATACACTGTTTTTGAAACTGTTGAAATACAAAATTAAGGGTTATCTGAAGACTCACCTTGGTTTCCAGACATAGTGGATATTTTTAGCTACCTTTTTCTTATTTATTCCATTGAGTATGCTTAAAAGGTCCTCATATCACATCAGGTTATAAAAGTGAATATTCACATACTAACAGTAAATTTGAATGACATGTATTTTTCTCATTTTATTGATACTGTTAGACTTGCACAAGTTCAAAGACGCCAGAAACAACACTGAAATGTAGGTACTGATTGATTTGACCTTCCAAAAGCTAAAGCCAAATTTTTGTTTCTAAGTCATGCAATCCAAAAATTCAGGATTGTTTCTTTATCGTTATGTAAAGACCTCTTTCTCACTAATGATGCTTTTGGTTGGCAAATTTATTTAGCCTTATGTTAATATTGCTATACCGTCTTTCTTTACTGATGACTTAATATACCATTTCTGTGCCTTTACTCGAAACCTTTCTATATAACTGTTTTAGGTATGTCTGTTATGAACAATGCAGCCAGAGTTTTTAAAGATTGAATCTGAGGTTCTCTAATTGACAAGATTAGTTTGTTTACACGTATTTTGACTACTGTTATATTTGGATATTTGTGTCTGTTTGTATGTGAGAGAGGGAGAGAGAGAAAAACAGAAACGCACGTGCACGTCGTTTCCTGTGGGTTTTCTTTGCCATTTTACCTCGTTGGAGTTTGTTTCCTATTTTTCCCTCTACTGTTTCGGAAGTTATGCACTGTCTTTTCACTGGAGGCCTGTCAAAACCATAGGTCCTGGCTTATAAATATCAAGGTATGGCTGGAAGAGCTCGGTAGGGCGAAAGCGGAACTTGGGGCTCTGCCCCAGGCAAGTCGCAGGGCTTCTACACACGCCCAAGGTCCCAACCTATGTCCGCTTCCCCAGAGCTTCTCATGGTTCCTGGGCTGGTTACTGAGAGCAGTTTTGAGATCCAAAACCTGTCTGTCTCTTCTGTGGCACACTTCAGAAGGAAACCAACAACCCTGCTCACTGACTGTCTTGTCCAAAGTTGGGCAAAGCCCCGCTGGGAGAGCACTTCCTTAAAAATGTGTGCTCTCTGGATGAATAAGCATCTCTGAGGTGAAGCCATTCCTGATATAACATGAGTCTGTTTAAAGGTATAGCTCTACGTCAAGAGCTATCTGAAGAATTCACCTTTTTTTCTAAAACAAAAATGCTGTCCTTCCCATTGTTTGGAGGCACCTGATGCAGTTTGGACAGTGTAACTTTGCTGAAGTCTCTTTGTTTTCATTTTAGGTGCTGGGCATGACAGTGGCCAAGAATAGTAAAATTTGCATTTTGAGGCTCTCTGATTTTACTGCCTGACAAGTTCTTCCTGCACTTCTCACCCTAGATTTTATTTGTGTTTATTTTTCTTCTTCCCTGTTGCACAGAAAAAGGCTTTATTAGTAAGAAATTATTCTGTTACTTGAATACATCTCTAATGAGCTTTCTTTTTAAGTTATGCGCTTCTCTGTTGGTGTATAAAAATATGCTCCACTCTAATCTGTTTGTAATTAGATGAAGTTGAAGGAGCAATTCCGTGTTTGCTTTGATTATTACCTATAACCTTCCAAAGAGTTCACGCAAGTGCACCTTAAGTTGGAGCTGATTATAGGACTAATTCAGAATCTTCCTAATTCTCTCTCTCTGTTCCTTCTTATTTTGCTTTTGATCTTGGGGAAACCATAGGACTTTTTAAATAGCATGCATTGGATCAATAAGATTAAAATACAAAATATATTAGGTAATTATTTTGTAATTTGTCTTTTTTGATAAAATTTATTTATACAAATGAGCATAAAATATTAACCAAATGTTTTTCTTCAAGCTAGACTAGATTGCCATTTATTTTAAGTAATATAAATGCCTTATGTTTTTGTCATCACTTAGCCCAGCGGAAGAACTGTATTTTGGAAGTACAGAATCTGGAGAGAAGAAAACTTTAATAGTGCTGACAAATGTAACTAAAAACATAGTGGCGTTTAAGGTAAATTTCTGAAAGATAGGATAAATTATGTGGGAAAATTTGAAATGGGAAGAGATTTTAGACATATTTTAATTGAAAGATTGATAATTTTGAACTTACACAATGGTTTTATTTATGATCTTTTTAGGCATGTTATACTGCCTTCTACTTCTATCCAAAATTTTTTCTGGAATCTGTATTTGAGTCTTTTATTTACAGTAATAGGCTAATGCCTAAAGTAATCCCAGGGTTTAAAATTTGTTATAAATAAAAAACCCAAGGAAAATCACTCTTCATTTTATGAATAGTTCTTAATAATAGTGAAAAATAAAACTGTAAAATCAAATGTTCATTTTCTCCCCCAGTAGAGTATATTCAGGAGTACTAGTTTATTCTGGATACTAACCTGTTACTGAGCATTAAGTATAACAAGACTGAGCTGCAGGCATTACTTCCTTAAATCATCTATTTAATTTAAATCTAACCACTCAGATGTTTAGATGTCCTTTGATTATCTGCTGTTTTTTAAATTTCTGAACACTACTGTAACATGTGCGTTCAGTTTTTTGAATTTCTGTATTAAATTCAGGTGTTTGGCACATGTAATTATTTTATTTAAGAGGAAGGCTAAGTAACGATTGGACTTAAAAAAATGAGTGAATATTTTTTAAATAGCTTGAGATGCTTTTTTCCTAGCAGTGGGGAAAGATACATTCTATGCATAATCACCAAAGCTTATTTTGTAAATTTCGGTTATTGATTATTAACTGCTAATTTTGTTAAAGTTCCTTTTTAAGCCATTTCTCCAAAAAGCATAAAGGTTATTATGTGACTACTGTGTTTATAAACAGGTGAGAACAACTGCTCCAGAGAAATACAGAGTCAAGCCTAGCAACAGCAGCTGTGACCCTGGTGCATCAATTGATATAGTTGTGTCTCCCCACGGGGGTAAGTTGTCACATGACAGCCACTGCACTGTAGGCATCTGTTGTCCCACGTGTAAAATGAGATGGGCAAATGGGTCTCTAAAGTCCTTCCCTGCACTAAATAATCTTTAGTTGTTTTTTAACAAGTAAAATTGTTTAAACGGATACTAGTTGAAACTGAATTTCAAAAAATGAACATTTAGAATGTTTACCCTTTTTTACAGTAGCTCCATATCCCTGCCTCCCTTACTGTTTTTCTGGATGGCGCCTTAAGCCTCATGCCTCATCTGTGGTAAAGATCCCTGATCACGTGCTTTACCCTTCTGGAGTGCAGGCTTTGCTGTCTCTGCCCAAGACCGGTTTCTGATAATGGCTGCGGAAATGGAACAGGCCTCTGGCACAGGCCCAGCAGAGTTGACTCAGTTCTGGAAAGAAGTTCCCAAAAACAAAGTGATGGAGCACAGGTATGCTTTTTACTCACAAGTATTCAGATGTGGGGGCAAGGATCAGAAGGGGAAATGTGCCTACATGGGCTAGGCAGGCAAACCTTCCTTCTGGAGTTTGGCGGACATTGAGGCATCTCGCGTGGGCCCTGAGTTCTGCGAGGCTGTGGGGGCGCCCAGGTGAATGAGACCTGGAGTTTCTCAAGATGGTTGCTAATACCACATATTTGCTTTCAGGCCAGTGCCAAGAATCTGGATGTGTCAAAACACAGATCCTGTGTGATAACTTCAGTATAATCATGGGTAGGAAGAATGTGGCTTAGCAGCCAGTCCAAGTCCCTATGAATAGGCACTGAATGGCCACTGATCTTTTTAACTCTAAATTTGATCGGTATCTTCTGAAAGTGGAGGTAAAAAGAGCCTTGTAATTCCATCTTACTAAAGAAGTCCTTAAGGCTAGGGACTTTGCCATACTCCTTCGTGTCCTCCTTTCAATTTGGTCTTTCCATAGACACCAATAAGACAATTGTTCAGGATGAGAGCACACTAAATTTTTTTTCAAACATAGAAGGTTTCCCAAGTCAAAGGATCTATAGCCTGGCCACTGATGAGTAGGATCTTATATTAATCTCAATAGTTACTCAAACCAATAAACCTTCTTATGGCTTAACCTTGGACACAAGAGATATCCCAACAGAGGGTTCAAAAATGCAGCCCTCACAAGATCAAAAAGCTCACCCCCAGAGTTAGCATAAGAAAGCAAAACCCTTCATTGTCTCAGGTGGTAAAAATGGTATACTGCAAACATGTCTCCAGTTTCCCACAAGAAATGTGAGATGCCCCAGTCACAGACCTGCTAGTTTGTGACTCCAGGCAGGTGCTACTGGGATGGGACTTTTCCAGTACTTATGAGACAGTGAAGGTTGAGACAACAAAGGCCCCTTATGACAAACTCCCATAGGAGCTGGCACAGTCTGACAAAGAGAATGCTGCTTGTCACTTTGTGTCTCCGATCCCCAAGCCTATTCAGCTGGTTGCCAGATGCGTGCATCTCTCTAGAGAGAATAGTCTTACTGGTCACAAAGCCAAGCTCTCAAGACACAGAACAAGACAAAAGGAAAATTTTGTTGGGCCCATGGTTCTTCTCGTTATGACAAATAATGCAAAAGAAAACTGACCATCTCTGGGAGGGCAAAGGATCAACAGAAAATAAGTACTCAACAAAAATCTCGACCAAGATCGCTATACAGAAGGAACTAGTTCACACATATATTCCCCTCTCAGCCTGATGCTAGAGTGAGATTCAGGAGAGCTGACTTTTTAAAGAACTCTTACCCTTTGCCAGCTTCTGCCACTTTTCCAGGATCCAATCTGCAGGCTCCCAAATGAGTATGGTGTCTCAGAAGGTCCCATAGTAGGTGAACAAACTGTAGGGAAGGAAAAATAATTTTGCTTTGCCCTTCTAG